TTCTTAGCACAGAAAAGGACACCGTGCGATAGTAGTCTGCTCCGCTAGACTATCTTCCGCATTCTCTCGGTCGTTTCGGGACGAAAGTAAATTTGATCACTATTTAAAGAAAGCTTACAACATGAAATTGAAATGCATTGAAATAAACTTAATTTTGAAAGCTGAACATTACAATAGTTGAAGGCAGGAAATTACAATAGCTAGTGTAGGGGGCGAACACTAGAAAGTTTGAAAGATGTTTGAAAGACTAATACCCCATATAATAGACTTAGCAACAAAAACCATCTGACGGGAGTAGACGTTAAAAAGTCAAGGAATCATACTAATTTTTTCTAATTCCCAACTATTTTACAATTAAATGAAATATTTACAATGTACAGCCGAAGTTGGGCAAACCGCAGCTACAATAGGGTCACGGGGCTTAGGTAAAGATGCAGTCCGTGACACCAAGTCCAGAGGTGTTGGAGTCCTCGGTGAGGCATTGCAGTATTTAGACCACAAATGTGCTAGGCTTCTATACCTTTTTATCAAGCATTTCCTTTTGCATCTCAAAGCCCAGGTTACCGAAAAACCAACCATTTGTCTTGTGAAATAATTAGAAACACTGCATAATAGTCAATTTCATTAGGACTTTCTTTGCACAACATCTTCCAGTAGGCCGTCATCTTCCTAGCATACTTTGAGAAGTATATATATAACTATTTGATATGGCCCTTCTAGTCAAATACTAGGAGAGGGAGAAAGAAATGGCTTTTATACGAGAATGTGTACATGCATATATATGGTGATATATACACAACATTGGAGTACATTGAAGCAATTGGATGGGTTGGTGCTTATCTGGTTAGTGAGAGAAGGATGAATATGATGTTACTACACCAAAAAACACCATTTGTAACACATAAAAAGCAACATTTGGTAGTTAACTGTTGTTAAAAGGGTCTATCGCAACATTCTAATANACTGCGCCAAAAATGATCATTTGCAACACCTAAAAGGTAACATTTGGTAGTTAAATATTGTTAAAGGGGCCTATCGCAACATTCTAATACGTGAATGTTGTTATTGCTTAACAAAATTGAGCTTTAGCAATATTTTTTAAGTGAATGTTGCTAATGTTGCCTTCTTGCAACGTTTTTTCAACGTTACGAAATTTTTTATTTTTTACAACATTTTTTAAACGTTGCGAAAGGCATTTTTCACAATTTTTTTCAGATTATTTCGTAACGTAAACGTTGCAAAAATCCACAATCCTTTAAATCAACCCTAACTTTTCCTCCCCCTCGCTTTTCCTTCTCTCGTCTCCGCCCCTCCTCTCCTCTTTTCTTCCCCCAAATCTCTATCTTCTTCAATTTAGAGCTTAGATTCGTGCAGATTTCCTCACTCGTGTTATAGCCCCAGTTGGTTGTATCTAAAGAGTT